CCCCTCGTTTTGACAGAACACCTTGGCGCTGCTTGAATAACTGAAAATAACTCTGTGATAAACTTGGTACTGCTTGAGTAACTCGATAAATCGACTCTAATTCAGACTCTCAATATAGGAAACAATGGCCATCGCCTTTACTTTTCGCATCCTAAAGAAGATGACTTAATTTTTTGGGAGAACATAGAAACAGGTGTTTTGCTCCAGCGAATAAACACATCAGAATTTTTGTGAAGTAAAGATTGCAATTTTAAAGTTTTATTGGTTTGTCTGATGGGTTTTCACGTTTTCCGATGCTCTTCTTGTGGCAAATACTGTGTGCACCGGTCACTTAACGGCTAGAGAAGCCCCTTGAATGCTATGTTTTGAAGTGTGCAGAAATGTTGAGACAATATAGTCACTGATTAGAAATAGTGAACAGCAACTTGGGACACTTTGTATATGATGGTAATTCTAAGACTTTCCACTATAAAAGTGCATATGCTTTCGAATTACAACTATTATACTGCATGATGCAACATTTGAGGATCGTTTCCACACAGGGAATCATTAGTCTTCGGCAACCTTTTGTGATGTGGTGGCTCAAAAGATGTTAGCTAGTCAGTGTTTTCTGTCGTACAGGTGTACGCAATATGCTGAGAAATCTGAATGGAGTCATTCACAGCAATGTTCTCTTGACCGCCAAACATCTCTTTTCACTTGTATATTCGACTTGTCCAAGGCCTCGGGCATAGTTCAAGCGATTTTGACGCCTTGCGACTCTCCCTACAAGGCAACTGTTATCAATCCATTGCATGCCAGTTCTTCTGCATTCGGTTATTATAGTTTTCCGACACGATTAATAGTGACTAACTATCACAACCACATTGCAAGCTGATCGACATGCAATGGTCGTAACAGTTGTCTTGCCAGGAGAAGGTCGAGGCGACGAAATCGCGTGAATTATGCCCGAGGCCTAAGGCTTTGGACAGAGTTCACGCGATTTGATCGTCGCGATTTAATCGCCGGGATTTTCATTCATTTTCATTTTACATTAAAAAATTTCGGGCTGAAAAAGTATCACAACCGAAATGCAAGCTGATCGCTCACGTAAGAGGTGCAGAGCCTAGGCGATACTGCCGCGCCTCCAGCACCAGTCACTTCCAGTTACACAAAGTCTTTTGGGAAGCTAGGAAACACACCATAACATGCTGGACGAGGTTACGCTGATGATGAAAAAATGAGCAGTATAGCGCACTTGACAGGATTTTAAATGCATTTCTTCCTTTTTTGCTTCTCTTTTATCATCAGATCTCAGCTACCATTTCAATCACTGTAGGATTGTTTTGCACCCTCCATATAATTCCTTCTCATTCAAGTCGAACAATTGTTGCGATTTCCTCTCACCAAAAATTGTGCGTATTCAGGACAAACGACAATGTAATATGGGAATAATCATTATATAGCTGCCATTTTCGGGAATCATTTGTAGCCATGCCGTAAAGTCTCACGTTTTGTCAGGAGGCAGTTTTCACAGGTGTATCGCAGTTGTATTGTTGTTAATTGTCTTTTCACACATCCTCTCTAATGTTTACTGCTAATGTGTTTTTGGTGTGTTCCGCAGACCTAACTACGCTTAAAAGTCTCGCGAGATAGAAATCTTGCAATTTCACATTTGTGATTAACCCAAGAACTTCTCTTCATTTGCTTCTTTTCTCCTTTTCCTTCTTTGCTGCCTCTTCATCTTGCATCTGATTCACTACTACCTGGCTTACCCGGCTCCGCCGTATGTTCCGAATAGAAAATTCCATTTCTTAACCGATCCGGACCAAACTTGGCGCACATATACTTCGGGCCCCGGCGGGTGTCGCAGTCCACTTTTCGTTATCGATCGATGTCGATTTTATCGATTTTTTGCAAAATTTGAGCTAGGGGGCTGGAATTTGGCAGAGGGGTGTAATCGAGCATGCTGATCACCCCCACGGGGATGATCAGCATGCTCGATTACCCCCCTTTGCCAACTCCCAGCCCCGTAGCTCAAATTTTGCAAAATATCGATAAAATCGATATCGATCGATGACGAAAAGTAGCCTATGACACCCGCCGGGGCCCGATGTGTATGTGTGCCAAGTTTGGTCCGGATCGGTTCAGGAATGGAATTTTCTATTCGGAACATACGTACACACAGACATACAGACAGACAGACAGACAGACAGACAGACAGACAGACAGACAAACAGACATTCAGCTTCATATATAAGATGAACGACGACGTCGACCATACATTGCATTTGGGTGTAAACATCGGTCAGCAGTTTTGTGAAAGCTCTTCCTGCTCGAACAAGTGAAACAGTGAAACAACCGCCAGTGATACCCTCCTCAGCAGCGAACAGCTTACTACTTATAAAAACCAGCTTGAGCTGGACATTCTGAATATGAGAGTCAGTACGGTACAGCGTAAGTGAGTCAAGAAACGTCCGCAGCTTTTCAGCAATTTTGTCTAATTTTGTTGAGATTGGCTAGAGTTTTCAGACATGTAAAAAATGGTACTACACTTCTCTTTAATCCTATATATATATTGTGTTTTAAAACTCCTGTGAAACTGATGTACCGAACCAGAGAAAGCCAAACACATCCTTTATTTGCTCCAACAGCATTTAGAGCATCATAGCATCCTATCAAACAGTAGTTTGTCCATAGCACACTGAAAGCACGAGCTAAAATCGTGAAACTTAAAAGCAATCGCTTTGCAAGCTCTGTATTTAAGAAAAGCCAGTGTTGACGTACGAGTGTAACGCAATTCTTTAGCCTCGTTTTCTTGCTTAACTCAAATCCAACTGAAGTGATATCACTTGTCAAATGTGCTGCCTTAACACACTGTTCCTACGAGTATTTACTTTTGGCCAATCTAGCACTCAGGAACATGTGGGCCAGCGCTTTAACATATAATGAGGTTTGACTCTGAGAATCCGAAAAAGAGATAGAAAGTTTATTACCCTAGCAATAAAATTCTAAGCTTTTGCTCTTTATTTACTTTGTTCATCCTTTCAACTTCGCCTCACATAATTAGATGTTGCCTCTGACGTGTAAGTTTGTAATGCAAGCATTGTAATCACAAAGCGTTCCATCGCATAGGTTTATTTTAAGACTTCATATTTCTTGATAAAATCATATTTCCGTTATTTGGAAAGAATGTTGTTTAGTTTACTAAACATCGCGCGTCCTCCTTACACTCAAAACGGCTTGAATCGTCTAAGGATTGTTTCATGCAGCAGCCGATTGGCTGCCGCTGCTGCAGTTCATCGGCTGCAGCGAATGCACTATGGAACAACTCTAAGTTCATCAATAAACTAGGCAAATCCCTAATCGTGATTGTCTGCGAAATCACTCTTATGAAGCATGTCAAAGATATGAAGAATGTTCGATGCCGGCACAACAATCTTCAGGCAGGTAGGCATCGCAACAGAGAAATTATTTCCAATTCAAGTAAATTGTATAATACTTACAAGGAATGCATGTTTAGTTGAAGAGACCTTTTCAAATGGGATGTATACCGTACTGAAGGCCATACAATGTTGATTCCAAATTTGCCTTTCTTATCTGCAGAACATTTATAAACGAGGAGTTATGAGCAGTTACTGAAGCAAAAAATTGAAGTTAAGTAGACAAAAATAACCGTAATACTTTTTCTAGCTCTTCAGTGGAGCAGTGATAATCATCAGGGTACTTTATTTAAAAATGCTCTGAATCAAGAAATATATCACAATTGGTTGCATTATTTGAGGGCTTGTAAGGTTTTAGCAACTCATTTTATCCAAAATGCATATTAAATTTTTGGCTCCAAAAAACGCTCATAACTCCTCGTCTATAAATGTTCTGCAGATAAGCAAGGCAGTTTTAGAATTAGCGTTTTATGCCCTCTAATATGGTATACATCCTTCCAGAAAGGCCACAGACTAAACAAGCTTTCCTTGTTAGGAGCGGATAACTTCCCCGATAGAGTTGAAACTAGAATTGTTGAATATGTAGACCCTATCCTCTCCAGTTCACCAACTGTAGCGCTTTACACTCTAAAGACAATATCCTCGCGTAAATATTATGCAGACATGAAAAAAGCAATTCACCGCAAGTACGCCATGTCATTCTCTTGAAAAACGTCAGTGCTTATCCTGCTGGTACAAGTTATTTATAAACTACCCCAAGGTACATTTTACCCCAGATAGCAATGATGAATACGGCTATGGAGTTTGCGAATATCCGGAAAGCTTATAGAATCTTCCTAGCCGTTTCAAACGCCAAAAACAATTATATAGGTTTATGTAATCCCTCGCTAGCTGAGAAAATGAGAATCTACTACTCGAAGGCACTGCCCACTCTATGTTAGCAGTTTTGACCTCTTGACAACATACGACCGGGGCCTCTAACAAGCCGATGCCCACGTCGCACTGCAGAAATTGTTTTACAGCGAGATAATCGCTAATAGCGAAGTGAGCGAAGAAGCCGGCAAACATTTCGAAAGTGCGTCGCCCATCCGTCGATTCCTTCCGAAAGCGCAGATCACGAACGCATGCGCAGCGTAAAAGTTTGCGTACGAGTGCACGCAAGTGACGCCGCGGTTGGCCTGCATGACTGCCCCACTGTCTCGTCACGATGATTTTTGAAGAGCATCCAAAATCCAATACTTCGAGATTTTTGTGAACGGTGCTTCTAAACACAGGTTTCATTAACGAGATACATGTGGAAGTATCATCAAGCCAAAGCAATTAAGGGGTTTTTTTTTTGAAGTTACTACACAAAGATTAAAACAACTGTTAAACAATTTGGCTACATTTTCACATAAAAGATTTTGAAGCAAAGAACTACCTGGTGGACTTTAAATTACCGATGATATATTTGTTGGATGCACATGGTGGAAATCTATATTTTATCTTGCAAAAGCCCAATCGATTCATTTGTATAAGTAATCTCGTAAACTAAAGTTTGCTTACCTCTGTTCTTTTGCAACGTTGGACGCTTCATGCAGGTTTCTCAATGAAGTTCCTAATCTCAGCGTTTCTCCTATTGACAGACACTTTTGTAAGGCCAGCCGACAGCGACCACTTCGTCAGGTTTGTGCTGAATGTCAAAAGATTTGGATCATAAAAAAGAGATTCTTTAGATGCTACAAATTCAATATCATATCTTTGCCATTTCACCAGGCCAAGCAGATATGCGCCGATTTTGGTGGACATCTTGTCTCCCTACGGGGAGAACTTGAAGAAGCTATGTTTGACGGTGGCGAACTCTATTTGAATAACCATGACATCCCATATCAGACTTAAAGGCAGCGTCCAGGCGAATCTGGGCTTAAAAGGATCTCACTTGGAGGGTAATCCTAGCCCCAACTACCAAGCGGCAGCTTGAATGATGACCTCGCAGTTGAGATATTCGCCTCCAAACTGGACTCCGCGATCGTATTCACATGGATTTAGGGCGCGACACATCTTTTGCGCGAGGACCCATGCGTGTCGCGCTATGAGACCATGCGAATACGATCCCGGGGTCCAGTTTGGAGGCGAATATCTCAACTGTGAGCTCACCATTTGTGTTGCCGCTTGGGCAGTGTCCAGTTAAGGCCCCAAAACTACTTTACACATCAGAACCTCGTATGTCCGGAATTGCCTGGACGCTGCCTTCAAGCATTGTGCCTGAATGATTGTGACAAAAGAGCTCAATAATTATTTTTAGAGATGGCGCATCAGCACCGCATTTGCCCTTCATACTTTCTTGGTGATGAAGTGCACGGAAGAGCATGGATCAATACCAGAAGCAAAGCGAGGGGTAAGACCTAGAATACTCAGAAAGAAGACGTGTGGTTCAGTTTACATTAAGATAGAGCTGCAAACATTTATACATATAAATCTTGGAAGAAAAAAGTTACAGATACTCATCATTTTCGATAAAATAAACAATGAGCAGCTTTCCCCAGTGAATGTACACTCATGTCAAGACATGACTACTTATACAAGTCTTGCGCTTATTACCGAGTTTAAGTTATCAATAAAAAGGTTTTGTTTAAAGGTTATGCCAGGTCGCAGAAACATTTTCTCCGTTTTTCAAGAATTTGACTGAACTACACAAACGTTTGAGAATCGAAATGTCTAAAAAATAAGCATGCCTGAAACACTGCTGCAACTTTCCAAAAAAATTTTTTTTGAATGAGAAGAGAGTTATCAACGATCAAAAAGTGGGTATTTACAAAGGAAGCGTCGGGATTCAAAATGAAGATTTCCAAGAAAATGTATATAGGTTTGTAGGTGATGGTACGCAACTTACAAAACAGCGTCCGTATCTGCCAATCGGTTTTCTAAACCGAGATGTAAGGCTTGAATTTCACGAAATTGAATTTCAATACAAGTACGCGCGAATTACCCCAACATGAAATGGCGGAGTAACGCAGTGGCAAGAAGCTGGGCTCATGATCTTTGAGGTCCAGACTCGAATCCCTTTCTCAGCAATATTTTTGCATTTAGTTATTTTTGTATTCAATGATAAGATCTGAGCATCTTCACAATCAAATTTTATTGCAAAATGCAGCAACTCATTGGTTCTTCTAACGAATTTTTGGTGATGTACATATATAACTTACAATAAAATGTTGGAAACAAGTGAGGTGATTACAGTAAGCATAGCGAATAAAGTGCTCTTCCTCACATTTATTTATTTGATAAGTCCCTATAGGGTCGGATGGGAAGCAGTATTCCATGGAAGTAAGGAAAGCTCCAGGATGCTCATCGATACAATCTGCTGCGTGCCACAAAAAAGGAAAATAATTTTTAAACGAGAGAAGGGGGCACAAAACTGATGATAGACGAGACCCAGTGTGCAAAGGATCGAATTGCAAATGTCCATTTTGTAATATATCTCATGGGCCGCCATATATGAGCCAATACGTTTTTATACATACACCTCAACGGCATAAAAAGTAACATCTATAGGCTGCATTTAAGATGTTGCGCCAAAGGGTGTCATGACTAGTGCGTCACCTCTGCTTCGCAGAGGCTCGCACTGAATCTACTGTCTGAATGCCCTCCCCATTCTCGTATAATAATGGCATTGAAACTCACCGAGTATCACGAATAAAATGTAAGCAACTACCCAATCTGAAAACTTCTCATGTGAAATCGGTGATTTTGCGTGGATGAAAGTTTTCGCAAAAGAACAAACGCAAATTTGCATAGGTTTTTTGAATGCATTGTTTTGATATTTGTCATAAGAACAATAATCACCGTGAGCAACATCTTCGTGCAAAAATCTTGTCAAATGCTCAGGTGAAACCTGGCAAATTATTCATTTACGCAACCCATTCTTCTTGGCACCGTTTTTGTAAAGTAGTATTTTGATCACTTTTGGGCGTAAGTCCATGGCTTGCATTACTTGCCAAACACCCACGATTCTGCAAAAGGTGGAAATACGGACCTGCGGCCCAGAAGCCAAGTAGATCTTTTGACGCGCCAGTTTCTGAGGGATCCACCCAAGGAATCTGTTCGTGCTTTTGCATGTTGGACTATCATGTCGGTGGCATGCGCTGCGCAAGATTTGAGCCCAGAACGTCGGCTGAAACACGCTCTACGACGAATTTCGTAACAGACGAACACACACACACACACGAACACACACACACACACACACACACACACACACACACACACACACACACACACACACACACACACACACACACACACACACACACACACACACACACACACACACACACACACACACACACACACACACACACACACACACACACACACACACACACACACACACACACACACACACACACACACACACACACACACACACACACACACACACACACACACACACACACACACACACACACAATCGAAATCAGCTCATACATTCCACGGCAGCCGGGGCGCGACGCGCTTCCTTGCCAGTGCTTAGCCAAATTTTGGGGTGGCCAAACTTTATAACGGAAAGTGTTCCTTTCAATATCGCATGCTCTGCTGATAAGCAGCGACACAGAATTTTTCGCGAGCGCTCATCCAATATTTTTGAGCGCATGAGATTTTTCAACGAGCGCTTATCTGTTGGTCAGTAGAAAGCAACTTTTGAAGACAAACAATCGTGAAGTTTATTGTAATTAATGCCATAAAACTGTTAACTTCTGTTTTCAACAATCCCCTTAACGCAGTTTGAATTTCAGCTCACGTCTTATCTTAGATTATCAGCTGCTTGAGTAAACGCATTTTTTGCATGACTTCTCTTCAATGAAATTTTTTTTAGAATTTTGCTCCTCAACAATCAAGTTAAAGCTGAAAACTAGTAAAATTGTTCATTATATTTAAATTTGATATATTTGAATAAATTTAGAATTATGTAAGAATGTGGCATTACTTACTTTCAATAATCACGTCAAAAATCCCAAAGCATAACAGGGTTCTATTGTCGCAAATATTATGTCGGAAAACCCTTCTGGAACAACAGATTGAGCTATTCAAGTATAAGGCCAACCAAGTGAGACGGTTTCCTCCTTGACTTAGGCCTTGAGTTGCAAGCAACCAAGTTGACAACTTTTCAAGTAATACATTATGGAAATTACGAAGTACGTTCACAAATTCAGTTCCACAATTGATAGTAGCAGTAAAACCACCTGATGAAAAAAACTCGTACAACAACTAAACTTTATATTTGCTATAATTCAAATGAGATGTGAAGTGCTACTGGACTTGTTCCAATTGTCTTACTAACACTCTGTTAAGCAAATGTTCAGGGCAACTCAAACGCAATGAAACATGCGCGACGGCAAGCTCGGTTGATGGGGTGTGGAACTCGGTGGCATGTTCGGACCCATTTTCGTATGTTTGCGCAACTGCCACTTCACCGTCAAATGACCATCGTCCCTGTCCCAGATGTCCACCCATAAAAGGTAGCGATGAAGCTTCTACTTGTTTTTCGAGAGACAAGGCGTATATCTGCAATTCACACCGCTGGACCAGGGCTCGGCACAGGTGGCTTGTAAGCAAGCTGGGTATCGTTTTTGAGACAAAAAGCAAAGGGGGTTTCGTTTTTGTGACCGAAGGGAGACGCAAAATGGGCGACTTGGCGACGTTTTTTTTAGTCGACGTTTCGTTTTTTGGGGGGATTTTGGGGAATTTTTCAGGTTTTTAGAGGAAATTTGGTTGAGGGTCAAAGGGGACTTCGTAAAAATTCCCAAAAGTCAAGGGGGACTTCGTTTTTTCTATTTTCATCTAGCCACCTCGTGCCGAGCCCTGCGCTGGACAGCAGTGTTTATTATAAATATGTGCTTTTCAAAACCCAGTAAGCTATACATCGTTTGTTGATGGAACTAGAATGATACTTGATTATACTCAAGTCATTACGAACAAGCTAATGCAGGAATCCAAACCTTTTGAAGGTAGAAAATTAGCGTCAAAACATATTTTGAACTACTTTATCGGTTCCTGAACACCCTGCAGATTTACGACCTAGACAAGGTCATGATATCGCAAGAATTTCGGAGAACACTCATCAAATCTACTCGTTCTTTTCGTAATGGACTTTTCGAACAATCTGGAAACGTACGTCATGCCGAAATGAAATCTAACCCTTACATCATTAGCTTCATGTCTTTCGTGATATAAAGAACCTGGACACCACAATTACACACAATCACACACTAAGAACCTTTGACCCGTTACAGCTGGCACTAAATGCGTGCTCCTTTTGCCATCGGCACGACTGTCACGCCGGCGCCTCGCGAGCGTATGGCTTAAGAATTATGGTTTCAGCTGATGGCTCTACGCGTCCCACGCATCGAGCAAAAATGTTTCCTGATTTTTAACGTTTCATTCGCAAAAGAGAGCGTGTAGAAGACGCACATAAAATTTGATGGTTTTTCATAACGAGAAGCTGTGGATACGAGGTTTATTTACGCGCAAAGGTTTAAAAGAACAATATAGGAAAAGCCATGGAAAATATCGAACAAAAAACCACGTAAAACAACAATAAACAAATTAAAAAATTATTTTGCCAGCCATCTCTCAGAACTTGAATCTTTGCTTGTTGAGCTGCAGAGATGTTTTGAAAAGGCGGCAGATCGGTTCGTCCATCCCGTGTTTTAGAGACGAATATCTGGAAAGACCTTAGACAACCAATTTAGTTGTTAACTCTCAAATGCAGCTCAAAAACGCAACCACATTATTGACTTTACCGGTTGATTTAGGGAGCGAGCTATGCAAACTAATAGTCGTAGTTGATTTGATTGAGCGAACTTCCAAGGTTGATATCACTCCTTGAAATTTGCTAACGTTTCGGCGCTTTTGTCTTCGTCAGAGCCTGGAAGAACCACATGGAACTTACTTGCCTAGACGTCAAAATCATCGCCAAAGCATCATTGGAAAATAGGGTTCATACTTTAAAAAATCATATTCACAAGCACAATACTCACCTTAGGTAGCACAATACGAGTGACTACCTTCTACAAAGCTCTACCCCAGTTCTGTTAGTGCCTTGATGACCCGCCCACTATTCAACTAAAGCACAAAATGTAGGTTACTCCCAAGACCAGTTGTTGTGGCGATACTTAAGTTTTAGTGGTATGAGATTTTGTGTTAAGCTATGGTAATGGTTTACCGCTGTGATGATGTTCGAAGTAGAAAAGTTTTGCTTGTTCTCAAATTCATTTTTCAGCATGTTCCGGGCATTGCGAAAACGGCTGGACTTATTTCAACAAAACTGACGCCTGCTAATACCAAATGAAGTTCCTTACAAGGGAAGGATACTCGGTCGAAGTGGCCATTTGGAATGAGCTGTATATTAGGAAACCGTCCTCCGTAAGGCAAACTCAAAACTACTTTCGCTAGGTGCCGAGCGGTTTTGTGGGGGGAGTTACAAGGCCATTTTCCTCCTTCGCAGCCAGCGCACCCAGTGATGAGCGAGGCGCTAGCATAACACAGCAGTGTGGCAGTGGCGCAGTGGCAACGCAGTGGACTACGAAGCAGATGGTCGCGGGTTCGGGTCCTGTTGCTGCTATATTGCTTTGCAGTTCTGTGAAAAGTCTATTGGGTGACAGCAAACGAGAAATACTATTTCTGGGCAGTTCAAACAAGCTATTTACTGCAAAAAAGTCACTATTTCTACAATAAGCCATAATCTTTTACAATATGTAAATCTGTGGAGGTTATGATGTCATAACAATGGGTTCAAATGATATATTAACATGTATGGAATACAACCACAAAATGCTCAAAGCAGAAGAGCTTCTCGCAACGCGCGCACTTGCAAAATTGCAATCGATTCACATCCCATTTATTGACTCTTGATCTGAACTTTACCTTGCATCATAGGAATTCCATCCTTAAGATCTTATCGATCATTTACACACAATTTTGCTCGCCGCGATTCAAAAATTTGCTTTCATATCCATGGATGCACCCGGATACATTGACAACCACCCCGGCGAATTCGAGTCTCCTATTCAGTACTGTTTTTCACCGACTTTGATAGGCAATTGTGAAGCTGCTGATTGTCATCGTTTTATTTTATCCGATGTGCGCGCTGCGAGAAGCTCTTCTACTTTGAGCATTTTGTGGTTGTATTCCATACATGTTAATATATCACTTGAATCCCTTGTTGTGACATCATAACCTCCACAGATTTACATGTTTTTGAAGATTATAGCTTATTGCAGAAATAGTGGCTTTTTTGCAGTAACTAGCTTGTTTCGACTGCCTAGAAATAGTATTTCTCGTTTGCTGTCACCCAATAGACTTTTTACAGAACTGCGAAACGAAATAGCACCAACAGCCTCGAACCCTCGACCACCTGGTTCGTAGTCCGCTCCGTTGCCACTGCGCCACTGCCACACTGCTAGTTATTCTAGCGCCTCGCTCATCACTGGGTGCGCTGGCTGCGAAGGAGGAAAATGGCCTTGTAACTCCCCCCACAAAACCGCTCGGCACCTAGCGAAAGTAGTTTTGAGTTTGCCTTACGGAGGACGGTTTCCTAATATACAGCTCATTCCAGATGGCCACTTCGACCGAGTATCCTTCCCTTGTTAGCTGCTCAATGATCTCTCGGAGTTATGAGCTATGGTTTCTTCAGTATGACAAAAGCCTGCTGTAAGTTTGCGGCACCAAGCGGTGCACAGGTGTAGGTGTAGACGGACGCCCGAGTGGACTGCAATGCTATGGAGCAGGTGATCGACGGTTTAGGTACCATGTGGCGCCAAAGTTTTGCATTCCTGCAAATATTTTCTATGAATTCGCTGACGCTTGCGAGACAAAAGAACTTTTTTTGGGGGCTGTGCAGGGTTTATTTGTCGCAGTTGGAGCGGTTATTCGTTACATAGATCGTACAAAGTGAAGTGAAGTGCTATAGAAGCATGGGAGCAAGATCAGGTGAACACAGGCTGTCACTTAAGCACGAATTCACGGAATAAGGCTCAAATTCAAAGCATTCAATCACACACCTACTGTCATACCTTCAGGGTATACAGCTGGGGCAGATACTGGGTGCATAGTGCATACAATATAGTGATAAAGTAGCATGGAAACCGGACCAAGATGAGCAGCATACATACATGTCCCGATGTCGCTTCATATGAAGGTATGGACTAGAGAATCAAAATGCTTCACAAGGTCATATATGATTGCTTGTATGACTGATGAACGAGCTACACATAGCTTAGTTGAAGCTCTTAGTTGAAGCTTGAGAGCACGAATATACAAAGAAAGCAGAACTGTCCGAGATGTGGCCAAAGAGAGATCCACGAAAGAAAGCAAACTGTTGGTCAGTACATGTCTCCTACTGATGCCATGAGTACCCAACAAGAGACCGTGGAAAGGTTATCCGCGCAGGAGGTAGCGCATATGCTGTGACGATGGTCGGTAGAGAGTAGCCACGTATCATCGTAGCTGTTGTGTTCCATCTCGGTCATCACCATTTGTTCTGCGGCGGTTGAAGGTAGAACGGTGGAAAATTGATGTTGCTAAAATAAAATTCTTTCTAGCATACAAAAGTCTAATGTAACTTGAGGTCCTTCTAGTGCTTATCCTACATAGACTCCCTACGCTACAGCCACCACTTGAGGAAACGGGAGATCTCTAACCAATGGTTTTCAGACAAAATTGTCAACTAGGCAACTATATGCTAGACGGACGTATTTTCTTGCAATGGAAAGCCTACCGAGAGACACGTATACACGTTTGAACCCGAAAAGCTAGTCTCTGATAACAGACTTCTACAAGGCAGATGGCTGATGCCTCGAAGTTACTCGTTTCCTTTTTGTGGGAAGGCTGGGTGCAAAGCAGGCAAGCTTGCCTTGAATAAGATTTTCATGAGAGACACTCGGAATTCTTGCTCATCAAGCCTGACGATTCAGACTCGATAGTTAGTCCAGCGAGCATGAAAATAAGTCATGAATTTCAAGACTGAGACAAGATCGTGATGATCTCCTTTATCTGATGGTCTCGGATGGTCCACACAAGCATGTCGCTCCCTAAAACTTTTTTTTGCATGTGACTCCGAAGTAAGAAAGCGGTTTCAGGTAGAATTTCCTGAACCACTAACTGAACTACAAAGTGCAGCTTTTAAGGTGTACGGATCCACGTTCCGGACTTCGTGGTGCCTTGCTGCTATCCAATTTTTATGCTATGCCTGTATATCTTGTATCCTCGAGACGTTTTTATTGGTTTTAGGGCGGGCGGGTGGGCCGCTTCATGTGCGTCAAAACGCCTGGACGACCCATCATCCCTTGTTGTGCTCGGAGCGGTTAGGGCCCGCCTCTTGGCTCCGAGCCAATCGACTTGCGAGTCGATTGCAAAAGACGGTTGTTCAAAATATCACTTATACCTTCGTTACACTCTGGTACAAATACCATTTTGAACACAGTACAGGGGCTGTGGAAAAGCAAAGCCTGGGGACTGTCTGGATGCGTGAGTAAAACTGCATATGCGCAGTTGTGACACTCTTCGGGAGACTCAAATAAAGAATTTGAAAAGAGAATTCGGACTGACCAATAAGAGACCGGCCATACTATTCCAGGAGGTGATTCCTGCGACTCCTGCAATTCCTGCAATCCTTGTGATTCCTCAACTTCCGATGTGCCGCACTATGAAGCACCTTGCAGATTTCAGTATACATTGTTTTTTCGCAATATACATTGTTACGGGACTGCAGCAATTACAGGAATCGCCGGAATTGCAGGAATCGCAGGAATAGTATGGCCGGTCTCTAAGCCTTACGCGTGCAGTCAATCTGAGACTAAGTGTTGTGGCTTCATGGACCTACCCTTAAAGATATGTGTTTAATCTCAAGCTTGAAAGCCGCCCTTTCAAGCTGTTTCCGACACAAAACAGCCTAGCAACACAGGCTCGAAGCCTCCTGGTCCAATATGAAACTATAACAGTGAAGTTCATCACAAGCTTCAAGCAGCTGCGTTCACATGCGAAGCGGCCCTCGAAGCGGAAGAACGCAGTGTGCGTCGAAGAACACATTACTGCTTTGTCAGAAGAGATGTATACAGGGACAGAGGGTCAGCAACTCTTACTGTTTACTCGTATCTTCGAGTAGAATCACTCTTATAGGAGGCAAAGCCCAAACAAACAGGGAAACAGAACCGGAGACAATCATCGCATGATCTCTCATGCCAAGCACCGTATGTTGGTGTCAAAATCCCGTAGCAAGCAGCTTCAAAGCCAAAATAACCCGTCAGAGAGGCAAACTCAGATCTCTAGAGTAAAAAATCGCCATACCTGAAGACCGTGAGAAGAATGGAGATGCTTGAGATGATTAGTGAAACAGAGCCGACTGAAGCGGGTAGAAGCTTAGCCCCGAATTCCCAAAGGCAGGAGCATCGCTTGCGTCAGTATCAGACTGACCTTCTTGACTTTGTATTCACAACGCAAAGGAAGCGTCGAATGCTGAGTACCTGGTTGGCATCTAACGCCTGCTTAAGCTAATCAAGACAAAACCACGAATAGACGACCGCTACCTTTTCTGTTTCGTGAAAAGCTTCACAACAATAACACGTTAACGTTAATGAATCTTCTCGAGAATGCCTGTCGTAGAACATAGTCCCTGTTTCTCGGAAGCTGACTATGCTGACAATGAGCTCCTTATCCTAGAATTAGGCCGTGACTGGACAGTGCCAAGTTAGCAACAGTTTTACTCTTAGCTACTTGCGAGCCCGTAACACACTTGCGCACAAACACGGTAATAGAAACACAGGGAAGTCAACAGTATCAATCCTGAACATGTTTGAGCACTTGTGTTTGAGAGGCGAGACGTGAATCAGCTCCTAAGCCACGATCCTAGGGTCCTGCATGAGAAGACAGAGTAGCGCATAGTTTACTAACTCACCGGATACCAATCGTGATCAATCGCGGGCTCGAGAGTCATATTCATGCTTAACCTAATTAGCATACTTGTGCAGAGCTAAACATCTAAGCCCTTGACAAAAGTCTGCCCATAGTGACTCAACACCAGTCGTGACTAGTGGTTGGCGCGAGAGCCACTTTATTGTTATGCTGCATCAAATCAGCAGAAGGTGCGTATCTATGCATTTAAGCCCTCGACAAGACATTTAGCGCTTAATAGCTTGTCGGATATCGGTCGGGACCGACTATAAGCCCAAGTGCCACTCCATCGTGATGGATCACAATTATGCCAGGTGTGCGACCCATACTTCGACTATACGGTCAACACACCGTTGCTCACCGGATATGGGTCCTAACCAAACGTGTTCTCG